TAACTGTGGTGATCACATGTCCCCGGGACATCACAACCGTCATATGTTGTATATGAGTCAGTTGCCAAGTGTTTGGATTGCAGTCACGTGGTCACGAGGAGGCTGCTGTGGTCGTGTGAAAAATGATCGTACTGTAAGTCCCTTTTTTTCCCATTGTACCTTCAAATGGTCACTAAACAAACTGCTGTGTGTTTAGGACTCTTTGTATGGCCTGACTGGATGAAACCTTAAGATTGTCATGTTCTCCTCTTTGGGTTGTTGTTGTATTGTTGTTTTGTCCTCAAAGTGCGGCTGAGATAACCAGAGGATGCTGATATAGCTTCTTCAGAATTAAAACCATGAGTGGTGCAGTTGCCACATCTCCTAGTGACCAGATGCGGGTTGCAGACAATTTTTTTAAAAACTAACTTTAACTTTAAGATAACTTGATAACTTTCATGTCATTTCTTTATGGTGAGCTCACTGGCTCACATTAAAAATGAAATTCCGTTGCCTGCTCTCAACATAATGTGTATATCTATCTCCCCAAATGCATGTATAACACACATATACACAGGCGGTAGACATACATAAATTTATACCTGCACCATATGTGTGTGTATGTGTGTAATGGATATACCTACATACACACACACACACACATACATACACACAAACTTGTGTTTCCCCCAAAATAAGGCCCAGCCAGAAAATAAGCCACAGTATGATTTTTCAGGATGCTTGTAATATAAGCCCTACCCCAAAATAAACCCCAGTTAAAATAGTCAGCCAGACGGATGCATTTAGTACCGTATTTCGCCCAAAATATGACCTAACCAGAAAACACATCCTAATGCCTCTTTTGGAGCAAAAATTAATATAAGGCCCAGTGTTTTCTTTGGGGACACACTGTGTGTGCATGTGTGTGTGTGTAATATGTTACATTATAATATATATAAATAAACATGACTTCATTTTGAATACATAGTAGAAAGAGTAAACTTGACAGTGCACAAGGATGATGCTCTATGGAACAAAAAAGAAAAAACATTTTTAAGGACTTTTTAACGGTTCTCCAAAGGAAGAAAGACCAAAGGCTCCTGTCTTCGTTGGGCTCCTTTCAATAAGTGAAGTGAGGAAGATGAATGGATCCAGGTCATTTTCCTACCTGTCGATCGATCGATCCGCTGCTTCTTCAGACAGACGAGAAAAGGCCTTTCATGCTTTCTCCAGGAAGGCGGCGAGATCAATCGGCCTTTCAGAAAGTGATTTTACTTCCACTGTTTGTTTCTCTTCCTTTTTTTCCTTCTTCCTTATGGATGGATTGGCTGGAAGAGGACATTATTCTCATCAAACCGCAACTCCGGGCTCTTCAAATTTACAGGGACTTTAGCTAGCTAATTAATTTTTAGTCCCCTTTCTGTTTGCTTCCTTTTATTTATCTTTCGAAAAGATTAGAGACAGTCCTAAACCTGGGCACAACAACAACCATCGATCTTGTAATACATTGTGTAATACAAAAACCTCAACCTCCCCTTACAGATGGACCTTGACTCATTTAGTGACCGTTTGAAGTTGCAATGGCATTGAAAAAAAGCAACTTAAGGGCTCCTTGGGGGTTTCCTTGCAGACGTTTCGTTATCCAAACTAGATTACATCATCGGGGCTAGATAACTTATGGCATTTTTTTTCACACTTTTTTTTTTTTGAAATGCATTTTTTATTTTATTTTTTGTTTCTATATACACATCATTGTGTGAACGGTGTGGTTCCAGCTCATTTTTCATTTTAAAACAAACATGACGTCAACTCATAAAACATTTTGTACACATATTTTATAGTTGTCAACAGAAAGAAGTGGGAGGGAATTTCAAAGAGCAGGCGGCAGTGTGGAATCGAAAGTACATTCCTTTCATATTTTCTTCAGAAACTGATTAGATGACTGAAGCTTCTGTCATGAAAAAATCTAACTGGAGAGCATGATTGATGACTCTGGGCTATGGACATGTTTCGTTGGATGATACACCCAGAGGGGTGAGGGTGGGGAAAGCAGGATCAAGGGCGACAGTGAATTACGTATCTCAGAGTCGGCTACGGCCAGGCAAATACCAGCATGTTAACTTCTAATAAATTCTTCGTACTTTTGCCCTCCCGGAGGCTCAAGAGAAGCCTCTGCAGCCTCAAGAAGCTGAAAAATGGGTCCATTTCAGCACTTACGGTATTTCCAGAAGGCCCGTTTTTCAGCCTCCCAAGGCTGCAGAGGCTTCCCTTGAGCCTCCGGGAGGGCGAAAACGGTCTCAAACGGGCCAAAAATCAGCTGGGAGGCGCACGCATGCGCAGTGCAGGTAAGTTTGGCTGGGACTCGCATGCCTGCACAAATAGCTCTGCGTGCCACCTGCGGCACACATGCCATTGGTTCGCCATCACGGTATTATATCATTCTAGAAATACTATACTCCCCTATCTATTAGCATATCTTGTTTTTAAATCTGTCAGGTTCCACATGTTGTTTGTTTTCCTACCACGCGATATTAATTTTTCCACACTTAACGACCGTTGCAGCATGCCCTAGGATTAAGCGAACAAAATTCAAACGCTTGGCAAACTGACTCATACTTACGATGGTTACAGTATCCCGGCCTCCCGCAATCCCCTTCTGTGACCTTCTGACAAAGCAGAATCCCTGGGGAAGCCAGCTTCACTTAACAACCGTGTTGCTAACGAACTTTAACCCCTGCAGGATTCACTTAGCAACTGTGGCAAGAATGGTCGTAAAAAGGGGACAAAACTCACTTAACCCACAGAAATCTGGGGCTCAGTTGTGGTCGTATCTCGAGGACCAGCTGCAATAGAAAAGTTAGATGTGGCCATAGTGACATCATGATGCAATTTTCGCTTACCTCTGTTTGCTCCACACATCCTGGAATACCCTTTTGGCTGTGTAGTTCGAGACCTTTCTGGTACAGAAGCCGCCCATCTGTCATGCCCCTGTCAGAGTCTGAATCCAAGGAGGAAGACGAACAGCCAACACGGAGTGGGAGGTGTGGCTCCATTGGCTGTGGAAGAAAGTGGGGAAGGGCAGAGTCTGGCTGGACAGAGCAGGGGAGAGGTAGAACAAGGAAGAGGGAGTTCAGAGGAAGACCCAGGCCCACTCCTTCATCCTTGGGCATGCAGGGAGGAATGGAGAAGAGAGCAACGTGGGTTGCATGTCTTACGGTGGAGGAAGGGGCCCTGATTCCCTTCACAAGGCACACCTGGGAAGAAAGTTTATAAGAAATGCAGGCTGCGTGCGGCAGTTGCTGGGAGCAAATGTGACTTTATCACAGGGGTGGGATTCAATTTTTTTAACAACTGGTTCTGTGGGCATGGCTTAGTTGGTGGGCGTGGTTTGGTGGTCCTGTGACTGGGTGGGCGTGGCTTGGTGGTCATGTTATTTGCTGGGTGTGGCCAACTCAATATCACTCACATCGAGGCAGGCATCTCCTCGCCTGGCCTCTCATGACTGTGGGGATGCTGCAACGGTTGTAAGTGTGAAAAAAGGTCATAAGTCACTTTTTTCAGTGCCATTGTAACTTTGAATGGTCACTCCACACAAGCAAAGTACCAGGAAAGGAGGGGAAAAACAACTCCAGAGAAGTTCCTGAGACAGGAACTGTAGTCCTGCCAAGAACGTAATAAGGGTTCATGGAGAGGCAGTTTCTGTAAGCAACACCAGAATGTTTCCTTCCTGCCTTCCTTACAGGATTAGCCCAGTAATTTCTTCTCACAACCGGTTCTCCAAACTGCTTAGAATGTTAACAGCTGGTTCTAGCGAATAGGTGTGAACCTGTAGAATCCCACCCCGCTTTATCCTGTGTTGACTTTGGTTATCTGTGTTCCTGGTGTCTTCCCAACTGTGTGGAGTTATTGCTGTGCCTTCACGTCTGGAATTCCTTTTCTTGCCCTGCCGGACTAATTACCTTATTTTGCCTTGATTGGACTTATAGTTACAGTTTTTGTTGACCGTTTTGGACTTGATTCTCTGCAGCCCAAGGCTGTTCCTGGGAGAGTTTTTCTCCAGCCCAGAAGGTAACCAGGACCTTGGGACAAAGTCGGAGCTAATAAAGGGACTCCTATGGATTATCTGGCTGTGTTGCCTTTGTGCCACCTCCCGGGTCATCACACCATCCTAGTTTATGTCACAAATACATGTGTTTCCCCCAAAATAAGACCGGTTCTTATTTTCTTTTGGGTCCCAAAATAAGCACTAGGGCTTATTTTCAGGGTGTGTCTTATTTTTTTTCCCCGTGTAGGGGCGACCCGCTTCTTCTATTTACTTGTGGCAGCGCAGGAGGCCACACAGTGTGTTAGTACTTCTGCCGCAAGGCCGAGGATTTGAGCTGCCCCACGGGCCCCGCACCAGCTTACCTCGGGGCCCCCGCAGCCAGGCCACCCACGCCCTGACACCTGTCTCACCTTGTGGTCATGGGACCAGCACACCACTCGGCCTCCTTCGTTGCAGCCAAGAGCAAGCAGAAGAAGTGGACCAGCAGCCGCGTGGCCCTCTGCCGCACGTGGCTGCTAGTGCTGCCACCACGAAGCAAGTGTCGGGGCGTGGATGGCCTGGCTGCAGGGACCCTGAGCTAAGTCGGGGTGTTTGGGGCAACTCCACCGCCCCCGCCTCACCTTGTGGACACGGCACTACAAGCAACTAGACGGAATTGGCAGCCGGCTGGCTGCGCAGGCTCTTAAGTAGAGCTTATTTGGGGGGTAGGGCTTATATAGGTACACTTAAAAACCATGCTAGGTCTTATTTTTGGGATAGGTCTTATTTTTAAAGAAAACAGCGTAATTATTTGTTATTAGTGTGTTATTATTGGTTATATATTGGTTATAACCCCAAAGACTTGACGTTGTTCCCTTGCAGATAATTGTGTTTGCAGGGCAAACTCTGGCTCACGTTGCCCTGCAGTTGGCTTCCCAAGGAGAGGCTGCCTTGCCTAAATTCTCTTCTTCCATGTCTGTCTGTCTTTGTCCTGCAGAGAAACAGCGAGAGCTGGCTCGGAAGGGGTCCCTGAAAAACGGCACCATGGGGAGTCCAGTTAATCAACAACCCAAGAAGACCAACGTCATGGCTCGGACAAGGTAGATGCTCCTTCTACATGAGAATCTTGGTGTGTCTACAAGCAAGGGTCCCCAATTTGTGGGCACCAGCCCACTACTGGTGTGTGGCCTATTCACAACCTGGCTGTGTGAGGGGCTGGCTAGTTGGTGCGTGCATGTCTGTGCATAGCCCAACACACGTGAGCATCGGGGGGGGGGTGTTAGGGCACTTGGGACCCCACTCATGAGAGCCATGAGGTCTCCCCCTCCCACAAAGCTATTCTCTCTTTCCCCCTCTGGGCCACCAACCTGGAAAATCTGGGGAACACTGATCTATAGCAGTGTTTCTCAAACATGGCAGCTTTAAGAAGTGAGGGGAGCCGAATGTCAACTCATAACATATTTCTATGGCCTTTTTAGAGTTATCAACAGAAAGGGAGGGAGGAGTAGTGCGGCAGCTTGCAAACCAAAACTGCATTCCAGTTAGATAGAAGTAGTTTGGATAGAAGGTAATGTTTGTAGCTCAGGGTTAACAGGTAACAGATAATCAGAGTTGGAAGGGACCTTGGAGGTCATCTAGTCCAACCCCCCCCCCCCCAAGCATTGAACTGTGGGGTCCCTGTACTCTCAGGTTGATTGTTTTCTTGTAGACATTTCATTACCCAACTAGGTAACATCATCAGTACAAATCCCACTCCCTTCTAGCACTGATGATCTTACTTAGTTTGGGATATGAAACGTCTGCAAGAAAACAACCGACGACCCCACAATTATTCTCCTCCTCCTCCTCCTCCTCCTCCTCCTCCTCCTCCTCCTCCTCCT